GGATCCGCCCCCGCAGGTAAGGGCGGCCCCGGGGCCCGCGGGGGGCCGCCGCCCGCCCCGCACCGGCACCTCCGGGATGGGGGGGGGGCGGCTGGCCCCGGGACGGGCGTCGGGATCGGGATCGGGATCGGTGTCGGGGGGTCGGGCTCCCCCCCACCCCCGTTCGGGGCTGCCGCGGGGGCGGCTTTGTCCGGGGCTCGTCCCGGGGAACCGGGGCCGGGGCGCGCACACGCGTGTCCGCGCGTGCGGGTGTGCCCGTCGCCATGTGCTGGGCGTGTGCGTGCCTGTGCGTGTGCACACGCGGGTCCGTGCCTGTGCCCGTGCCCGTGCGTGTGCACACGCGTGTTTTTTTGCCTGCGCGACTGCACACGCGTGTGCCGGGGGCTCCCAGCTCCTCCGTGGAGCGGCGGTACCGGGGCAGCCGGGCCGGGCAGGGCACCCATAGCCCCCCCCCGACTCGGGACTTGGGGTGCAGGGCGGCACCCCTCCCGGGAACGGGATGCTGCGTGGGAAGACAGGGACGGTGCGTGGGGGTGTCACTGCCTCCGGGGCTCCGGCGCTGCTGCGCGGCCGCGGGGTTGGGGGGTCGGTGTCAGCCTTGGTCCCGGGTCCTGCCGCTTCCCTCGGGGGAGGGGGCACTCGCTCGGCTCCAGCCGTTTCTGCTCGGTTCTGCCCTCTCCGGGACCCACGAGGGACCGTGGCCGGAGGCGTGGGGTGCCCCACGGCTGCGGGATGTGTGTGCTCCCAGCTCCGGGGGGAACTCGCTGGCAGAGCTGGGGGCTCCCGGAGAGCTGGGGGCTTCCCGCCGTGCCCCTGCTGCAGGGTTGCCCCAGAGGGCTGGGGAGGGTTTGGGGCCAGCGGGGTGACACCAGGCTGTGTCCCCACGCTGTGCTGGGGTGCCTGCCAGTGGCCAGCTCTGCGTGGCACGGCCGGAGCTCAGCACACCCTCAACATGGGGTGTAGGCGCTGAGCTGGGGGTTCCCGTGGCTGGGGGACACGGATCATTCCCAGCTCCAAGGATGCCGGTCCCAGTGAGCGTTACCCCACGTCCCCGCCGTACCCCACTGCCCCCCTCAGCCCCTGGGCTTGGCTTGCTCTCACACTATGCTGCACCCAGCTCCCCACTATCAGGTGGGGGGTGCCAAGCCCCCCCAGGCTCTCGGCTGGGTGCCCAGGGCCACGCTCCAGCTGCCCGCTCTCTCTGCAGGGGTGCCTGCGCCACATCCCCCAGCCCCTGCGCCACATCCCCCAGCCCCGGCAGCCGCAGCAGCGCCTGGATCCCACTCCTGGCCCAGCCGTGCTGGGGGGCAAGGCTGGCTTTTACGGTAGGCAGCCGACCCTTCCCGTGGGGTGCCACCAAGGAGGCTGTGCCGGGAACGGTGGGTGCTCCATGTGGCCGCCCAACCTGTTGTTATGGGTGGCACGGAGAAAAGCAGTTAGCAACTGAGGGGGGCTGGGGGTCTGCTGCTCCCCCCCTCACTGCCCCATCCTCTCTCTTGCAGACCCGCGGCGGGACTAGCATGGGAGAAGCCCTCCCTGGGCATGGGCAGCGCTAAGGAGCCCGAGGGGCTGCAGCTGCTGAGCCGTCAGGCTGGGGCTGAGGACGCCTGCGAGCCCGGCGCCAGCTCCCCTGGCTGCCCGCCGGTGGGCGAGTGCCAGTCCGGCTCCGGCTGTGCCATGAGGACCTGCTGCATGGCTGAGCCAGAGGCCCAGGGCACCACGGCCGGCTCAGCCGCAGAGAAGAAGGTGCCGTCGCCAACGGGACCGGCTCCCGGCACAGACACCGGCAAAGAGCCAAGCATGGCGGCAGCGACGGGGAGCTGCGGGGGACCAAGTGGCGCTGCCCCTGCCTGTGGCCCGGCGGAGATGGGGGTCCCTGGCACCCAGAAGGAGAACACAGCCCCCATGCCCCCCCTGCCTGAGCCCTGCCTCAAGGCACCCGGCAAGGACGTGGGGAGCGCGCCGGCTCCTGCCAAACACGTGGCGTTTGTGGAGCCCACTGCAAGCACCGGAGGAGCAGCTGAGCTTCCAAGCCAGGAGCAACCCCAGCAGAGGGGCAGCGAGGCAGCCAAGCACCCCCAGGGGGGCACGGCGGAGCCCCCCAGCACCGGCACTGCAGGGAGCAGGGCCAAAAGTGAGGCAGGGCCGAGCTCCGCCACCCTGGGCCAGGGCAGAGCCGAGGGGAGCCCAGCTCAGGGTGCGGATGCTGGGAGCAGCCAGCAGCCTCGGACAGCCAAGCTGCTCTGCGAGTCCTACTCCTTCGAGGTGACCCCACCGCAGGATGCTGGGACACAGGACATGGGGACGCAAGTGGACAGCCGAGCGTCCCTGGTGTCGGTGGCCTTGAGCCCCATGAGCCCCCCCGGTGGGGCTGCTGCCTTCACCTTCCCCAAGAGAGAGGTGGGCTCTGCTGCCCCCCTACGCCCGGAGCCCTCCAAGAAGGACGCGGAGATGCAGGTGTCCATGCCTGTGGAGACCCGCTCGGTGGCCACTGGGCCCATGACGCCGGTGACCAAGTCCCCACAGGCCTCGTACCCCGAGGTGCACGTGAAGGGGACAGTGGTGGAGGAGACTCCGGAGCCCATCCGGGAGGTGAGCTGGGACGAAAAGGGGATGACGTGGGAGGTGTATGGGGCCTCCATGGAGGTGGAAGTGCTGGGCATGGCCATCCAGAAGCACCTGGAGAAGCAGATCGAGGAGCACGGGCGGCAGGTGGTGATGACCCCCCAGAGCACCCGCGCTGGCTCCATCAAGGGAGCCCCCCGCAAAGGCGAGGCCAAGAGGCAGCCCAGCGTCTTTCGGGCTCTGCTGCAGAACGTCCGGCGGCCACGGTGCTGCTCCCGTGCCGGCCCCGCCATGGAGTGAGCCACTGCCCACGCCGGTGGGGTGGGGATGCCACGGGGCTTCTCCGGGGAAGCAGGGTTGGGGTCCCGAGATGCCCGCTGCCAGTGTGTGGGGCTCCTGGGGCCAGGACAGGCAGTGATGGAGCACTGCACGCTGGGGCAAGGCATCTCCTTCGCTGGGGGTCCCCCCACCAGCCTGGCCCCACGGAGGTGCCCTGGTACGTGAGGCTGGTCTCTGTGCTTGGTGGCTTTTTTCAGCACGAGGAAGCACGTGGCTCCTTCCAGCCAGAGGTGGCTGCTCCCGGGCATCTCCTGTTCGTGGCACAGGGCTGGAGATGGTGGGCACGGGAGGGTGGGCACGGGCAGGTCGCTGCTGGCTCCCCCAAGCCTTGGCCTGGCTCACACCCCATGCAGCAATGTCTCTCCCCAGTGCTGGAGAGATGCTGGTGCATCACTGTGCCACCACTTCGCTGGCCCAGGGCTCGGCCACGCTCTGACCAGCCCATGGCCATGTACTTGCGTGTCCCCGTGGCTGCCCGGGGCAGGAGTGATCAGCCCAGCCTGCCACAGCCCTGTCCTCTCCGCCCCACCGCTGTGCTGTGGGCAACCTGGAGCTGGGAGGACACGGCCACACGGGGCACCGGAACATATCCCAAATGGGAGAGACTGAGTCCGACCACTCCTGTGGTGGAGAGCTGCTTGTCCCCGTCACTGTGGCTGGAGGCGCGTGGGGAGTCTGTCCCCATGGCCCCCAGCTCCCCCTACCCCGGGACCTGCCTGGGAGCGGCCATCAGAGACCAGGACACGTCCTCACCACGGCTGGCGGTGGGGATGAAGCCTGCCCTGCTGCCGGGCCGTCCAGCTGGAGAGGACCCACGTGCTGGAGACGTGGGCGCTGGTCCCCGTGCGTGTCCCTCCGGCCCCGCCGGCTGCTCTCCTCCCACGGCAGCCGTCCCTGCGCCTGCTGCAAAGCGCTGCCTCTTTTTACAGCTGGGGTTTTACAGGGTGGGGGGGGAGGGGGGCTTTTATTGAACCGTGTTTGCATTTTTGGAGCTTTTTAAGAGACACTTTCAGCCGTGCGCGTCTTGCCTGGTGCCACCTCTTCCCCAGTGACCTGTGGGGCCGTCACCCCCTTTTCAAACACTTTTCCTACGTTGCCTGTGCCCCGCCGGGCTGGAGAGCATCGGGAGCACAGGGTTGGTGTGAGGGGGCAGTGACCATCCCCCCGTGACCGGGTGAGCATCCCCGTGGCCGGCAGCACCGTGGTGTCCCACCGAGCTGCAGGACCTGACCCAGCGTGGAGCACCAGCCCCACAGTGCCACAGCAAGGGGGGGGCACAGACCTGTGCCCAGCACCTGGTGCAAATGGCAGGGGTACTTGGGGAGCTGCACCATCCCCTCTGGGCTCGATGTGCTGGGGGACACCAGTGCAGCCCCTTCCCCTCTTTAAGGGGCAAGTCTTGCCTCCCTCCATCTCCATTGTACATCCTGGGCTTGTTGTGGCCCTGTGGGGGGCTGTGTCTCGTACTTGGGGGGTGTCTTTGTGAAGGGCTCGCTGAAGCACCAGCTGGCAACTGTGGCCAGTGCCCGCTCTGTGTCGTGGCACTTGCCAGGACCCAGCTCTGCCCAGTGCCTTGGGCTGCGGGAGCAGTGCCACAACCCCGTGGGGGATGACCAGGAGCCCTGGGGCACCCACCCCCCTGCCCTGGGCTGCGGCACACCAGCGCTGTGGCTTCATCACCTACTTTCTTCTTTTTTTCCCCTCTTTGTTTCTCTTTTTTTTT